AGAACTCATCTACTCCGTGGACGTAGCCAATCTGGGTGAACCACGTACATCTTGTGTTTGCTTCCCTATCTCTATCCATTTACATACTTATCCATACTAATGACCGGAGCAATTTAGCGAAGGTCATAAACTTAATACTTTCTGTTGTACCAAAGTCCTCACTGATTTTATGCATCAACATATATAATATTTAAAAGTAAAGACTCACTCACATATAATGTCGTCAAGTCAAACCCGTTCGAACTAGAATAGCCGAAGTCACCAATAATAATTGCACCTAAGCATAATATTAGGGCCCATTAGTAAAACTGCACTAAAACAATTAAATTTGGAAAACGGAGTGCGGATTTAGAATCAGGGCGTCGAAATGTGCTAAGAGGGGTCCCGGACCAATTTTATAAAAAGTCAACGGTCAACACTAAAAGTCGACCGAGACACGTCGGCGGTCAACTACGTTAAAACTTTAGAATTTCACTAAATAGATGTCAAAAACAGATTGGGGTGTCGAAATTAGCCTATGAGGGTTTCCAATTTTTTTTTTTGAAAAAGCCTACATAAGGAATATTCCAAACCCAACTCAGAAATAGGTCTGGGCAGGATCTGGCCCACGAATCTAGGCTTGGGTCATGGGCCAACAACCCAAAGGTTTGGGCCGGGTTTTAGGCTTAAGGCCTTTTTTTTTATTCTTTTCTTATCTTCTTCTTCTCCGGCAGGTCACCGGTTTCTGGGAAAAAATTCCTAAGCTCCATACAAGCTCAAAACTCAACCATTTTTCACCCTTTTCCTACCAAAATGAAGATAAACGAGTGTAGTTTAGGATTATACCTTCCCCCCGAGTCACCCGTGGGCGGAGTTGGCCTGAAAATGTTTGCAACTCACGGCATATATCATCGGAAAACTGGGAAGACTCCCCGAGGTAGCTCTGCATTCAAATGTCACCGAAAATCCTTAAGAACACTAGAAATGTAAAGTAAAACACGATCCATGAAGATTTGGGTGTTTTTTTGGAGCTTACCATTGTCGGAAGTCGAGATCTCATCGGAGAAAATATAAACAGTGATGGTGTAACTGTACAAAGTGAGGAAGAAGGAGAAAAAGGTTTCTACCGGTAAGAGATCGCAGCTATGGGAGTCTGGGGGTTGCGATGCTTGCCAGAGACGACATCAAAAGATGGTGGTCCGGTGTCGACATTGTTGCAGAGATGGAACACATAACAGAAACGAGGGGGAGATATGTAGGACGAGAGACAGAGATGGGTGGTCTGGTAAAGAAATGATGGTTCCATGGCCTAAGGGCTCACGGGAGTTAGGTGTGGTTCTCGACATAGCTACTGTAGAGGGAGGAGAGAGTTAGAGATAGACACGGAGAAGACTGAGAAAAGATGGAGAGAGTTCGAGAGTGTGAGGTAGGGGAGAAGGGACACGTGGCGAGAAAATGGTGGAAAGCTTGCGTGGGTGTGAGGCCCACGGCCAAAAAAATTACAAAATATTCAAAATATCCACTCAGAAAATATTAAAATAAGAAAATACTCAATATTCAAATTTCATAAAACACCCTTAAGTTTCGTAGTTCGTAAAATCTTCATCGTAGCTCCAAATTCATTTCCGCTTGTGCCTATGTGTTCGTAGTGACGAGCACTACGAGGATATGCTAAAATAATGTTTCATACATCTCCTAATACGTTGGTCAATGAAAGTCAACACCCTTGCATCTAGGGACATTTTCGTCAATTCACTCATTTAAAATTTATAAAATTGTAAAATTAGGGACGGGTTGTCACATAAGAGGCATGTGGTGCTAATTATAAAAAAGGTCTTTCGCATGCACATAATAATGTGATTCAATTAGTTGTCAAATGATTATTTTTTTCTTCAAACAAATGATGTTTTCTACACTGAAGAAGAGTGGGTGGGCTTAGCCACATGCGCTTAATGTGATTCAATTAGTTGTCAAATGATCCTTTTTTTTCTGAACAAACAATGTTTTCTAAAGAGGAGGTGGGTGGGCTTAGCCTTACAATGGGCTAGCAATAATATAATTCAATCAGTTGTTTATTAAATATTATTTTCTCTATTCTTGATGTAAATTCAATAGAGGTAGATGGAGATTAAAAGACCGATTTTATTATGTGGATTCAACTGCTTTGATTGGTTTATGAGGGGTTTCTTCTAGCATGATCAAATATTATTCATTTACTTCAGATATTTGACTTTCTTTTTGTCATAAAAAGAAAATGTTGAAACAATTCACGCATATAAATATATTTAAAATGTCTTCTGCATGCACGCAAGCCTGTACATGAAGGCTAATATTAATTATATTAGGTGGTGTAGGTAGAAAAACTAAAAAAATCTAGCGTGTACAGATATGTAGAGGTTCCAAAATATTTCTAACTTTTTGTTCATCAAAATAACAAATTCTAATTGAAAACAAAAACAAATATAAAATTATCACAATTTATTGAAAACTCTAAAAACCTGGATGTGTGTATACAACTGAGATTATACCAAAATGGTTCGCCCTGTTTTTTTTTTTTTTTTTTTTTTACTAGAGGCCTAGAATTGGCACACAAATTAAATAACTAAAGTTACGTTAATCTGAATACTCGAATGTCTAACTTTACATTTACTTTTGAGATATTGCATAAACAAATAACCTATTAACCTGTAAAGTACCAATTCTCCTTAGTCACTTTTCTTGATTGAACGTCACGTAATTGTTTTATTTTATTTCATCTCAAATAACTCAATTTCTACCTATTTCTTCTATCTCAAACTCTAGTGCGCCGCTCCAGCTCTCCCAAATCCAAAACCTCCAAATCAATCTCACCTTTAGCTACCGGCCCTTCCTCTTGGGTGGGGTCGGTAGCAACCCCATCTCCTCCTTCGTTTTTCCCTTCTCCTTCTTCCCTAAACCCCATCTTTTTCCTTTGCTTTTTCTTTGGCCCTTGTTTCTGGTTGTTTTGCTTTGAGCTTGTCCCATTTTCCTTGAGCTTGTCTCAAAGTTTAGCAATCTTGTTGCATATTTGAGTTTCGTGCTTTTTCCTTCCTAAATTGCTATTCCTAGCCACAAGCTTATGCCCACTTGGTTCAGCTATTTGGCTCATTGAGTTCTTCCTCCTTGGACTTCAGTTGGAGGTGTGCTCTGGGTTTCGGTGGCTGCTAAAATGCAATTCGCCCTATTTGGTAGGATTATGGGAGCGTTTTGTACGCGGGTGGCTTGCCCACCCCCATTTTCCATTCATCCTTTTAGTTCGGTGGTTCTTCTTACTGGTGGCGGCGGCTTGGCGATGGTGGTGCAGCTATTTTGGCAGAAGCAATTGATTCTGGTTTTCAGATCTAGGGTTTTCGGTTTAAGCTTTATTTTTGGGGTCTTGTTTCCTTTAGTTTTGTAATGGGTAGGGCTGCACTTTTATTGTGTTGTGGATTGTCTTCATACTATCCTCACTTTGTATTAGTGTGTTTTATCTTGTAAGAAATTAGTTGTGTGGCAAAAAAATAAAAACTCAATTTTTACCTATATCAAAATTTGTATAACATTATGTCGATGAATCTGTGTATTTGAATAATAAAATATGTTGAATATCTGGTGACGATTAGCTAGCCGGTCGTTGGTTTGATGAGAATTTAATTGCGAGCACAGTACATGAAGAGTAATTTTTCAACAGGCAATAACTTCTTCATCTACCAAGAGCACATGGTATAATTAACCTAATGTCGTTTACAACCATGCATCTCTTCAGAAGTTGATCAACCAAAACGAAAAAAAAAATCCAAGTGCATGGATCTATAACTGCGATGCAAAATGCGCAAGGCTTCAATCAAACAATATGCTATTTTTGCTTCAAAGAAGAAACACGGTATTCAAACTTTGAACCTCTTTCAACATTCATAAATGAAACTAAAATTTTAAGGTTTCGAACTTATCTACACATACATTTGAGTTCTTTTTACGTATTTAAAATTGTTATATTGTCAAAATTCTCGAAAGCATACGAGTGCTTCATACTATTATGGCTAGTCTCTCAATGGTTAAAAAGAGTTGTGGATTTGGAGCTTATTAATTTACTATATAAGCCTCTAAATAGATTAAATTCTGGATAATACTAGAGAGACCAAAATTTTAACCAAATAATGTGTTACCAATAGGAAATAAGCATGTTAATCAACACTTAAGTAATAATCCAATCATCTGCCATCACACGATTTTGTTTACAAATTTAGTTTAAAAATTTAATCTCCCTAACATTAATACCCTTAAATTCTATCATACTCAAAAACTTGGTGACCCAACTAACTTAATTAATTTTGTTACTTAATATTGCATGCGAAGGTGCAAATTCTTTCACGTTGGTTTACTGGTAACAATCTGGTGCCCTTTTTGTATATTTAAATAGAAAGGCTAGCTAGCTAGCTCGTTTACAGTTTGATATGCATAGATTTTTCAATGTGACCGGTATACGAGGTAGTACACAACGTATTACTATACAAATGGTAGGATATGTGTATTAAAAAATAAAATTTTCCACCACTTACATAAAAATACGTGGTGTACCATCCGTATTTCCATCACAATGAAAATTTTCTCTTTGATATGATGCATGACCAAATTAAAATCCAAGTTTCATGGGAAAGAAGAAGATCATGTGAAGCAAAAACTTATCCATGTGGGTGCAATAACTGATTTGTGGGTGCATTTAGAGCTGCCCTACTACTTATCTATCTATCTGCCTAATTAGGGTTTTGTTTGTTCGAAACCACAAGTAGTCTTACGCGTACCGACAATTGAATTGAGGGTTTGCATTAATAATTAAATGTGGCGATCAGTTAGCTGTTGAGGCTGATTTATTAGGAAAGAGATCCTCATCAAGGTCACCGGATCAAATGATCCGGATCTTCTAAATTTCATCTAATGGTTAAAAATTATCATAACTTTTAAGAGGTTAAAACAGGTGGACCGTTAGATAAAATTTTGAGGGCCTGATCACTGGTTTTGATGAAAGAGATCCTCTCCGGATGTCTTTCCGATTATTTATTGCTCAAGCAAAGCTCAAGTATAAATAAGAAGCCAATGATCTCTTTAGCTCTTAGCAAGCAGCTCAGAGTTGTAAGAGAATATTTTGAGAATGGGACGCGGTAGTAGGAGATCGCAGCGGCTTGCTTTGTTTTCTTTGTTTTGTATTCAAATTCTTGCAGTGAGTGTGGTTGCAAGGAACGTAGTGAGTGTGAGGCGTGATGAGGAGGAGAAGAACTTAGCTGGTGGTGGAGGATTTGGCGCTGGAGGTGGAGTAGGCGGAGGTGGTGGTGGGGCTGGAGGCGGTGCTGGTGGTGGTTTTGGAGGTGGTGGTGGGGGTGGAGCTGGAGGCGGTGGAGGATTTGGAGCTGGAGGTGGTGGAGGAGTAGGTGGTGGGCATGGGGTTGGAGGTGGCGTTGGTGGTGGGTTTGGTAAAGGTGGTGGCATTGGTGGTGGGATTGGTAAGGGTGGAGGAGTAGGTGGTGGTGCTGGTGGTGGATTTGGCAAGGGTGGTGGTGTCGGTGGTGGAATTGGAAAGGGTGGAGGAATAGGAAAAGGTGGTGGAGCAGGTGGTGGTTTTGGAAAAGGAGGAGGCATTGGCAAGGGTGGTGGAGTTGGAGGAGGAGCCGGTGGTGGGTTTGGAAAAGGTGGTGGTGGTGGTGGCGGAGCCGGTGGTGGCTTTGGAAAAGGTGGTGGAGCAGGTGGTGGATTTGGTAAAGGTGGCGGTGTTGGTGGGGGAATAGGAAAAGGGGGAGGTGTTGGTGGTGGAGCTGGTGGTGGCCTTGGAAAAGGTGGAGGTGTCGGTGGCAGTGGTGGCTTTGGAAAAGGTGGCGGTATTGGCGGGGGAGCAGGAGGAGGGTTTGGTAAAGGTGGTGGAGTAGGTGGAGGCATTGGAAAGGGTGGTGGAATTGGTGGTGGTGGTGGTTTTGGTAAAGGTGGTGGTATTGGAGGAGGAATTGGCAAAGGTGGGGGAGTTGGCGGTGGCGTTGGAGGCGGCTCTGGCGGTGGGATTGGGGGCGGATTTGGCAACGGTGGTGGTGTCGGAGGAGGAATAGGGGGAGGTTCTGGTGGTGGATTTGGAGGCGGTGGCGGATTTGGTGGAGGAGCAGGCAATGGTGGTGGATTTGGTGGGGGTGGTGGTGCTGGTGGAGGTGGTGGTATTGGACACCACTGAGCTTCATGTTATGCATGCACACACACACTTGCATGTTTATGAACGATGGTGGTATTAGACACCACTGAGCTTCATGTTATGCATGCACACACGCATGTATATGAACGAAGGATCTATCAACTAGTACTTTGTCTAATAATTAATGAACAATTTTTATTACTACTACTTTTTGATTAATTTTGTCAAATAGATTATATCCCATCAGAAGTCTACTTCTGGGATGACAAAAGACCCCCTACTCTGCTTCTCAGTTCATTATTTTTATAACCGAAAGAGTACGTTAAAGGTAATAGGATAATACGTGCATTCTCAATGAGAATAATGTATATTTATGTATAAATTTTATAATTAAAATGATTGAAAACTTAATTTTTATTTCAAGATTATTTCTATAAAAAAAAATTATATTCATATATGGAGATCATCTAGTCATCCAAATATATGGAATAAATAGAAATAAATAGACTATTAATCATGAATATATTATTTTGTACTCTCACTATTGATGTGTTTCATACATTTGAATGAAGAAACAATTTCTAATTGGAGTGATTTTTTTTTTGTAGGATTGATTAGTGGGCGGAATACATAATTGTGTCCATTTATATGGGAACTTACATGTTCAACATATTAATGTTGTACAAACATCATAACCGGAACTGTTTGTCTTCTTTACTTTTATCTAAAGTTTTTCCTAAAAAGATAAAAAAATCATATAATTTAAATATCGTATAGTTATCTATACTTCTCAAATAAATTAACAGTTTAATCAACAAGTAGCATCGATAAACCTTCTCTCCGATTACTTTAGCCAAATACCAAAAACACCAGGAACTAAACTTTTTAAAAAAATGTTGAAAAGGACTGAACTTAAATTTTGGTAGATTGCTGACAGCAGAATTTAAGATGGCACCAACCAATTACTTATGGCCGTCCACGTTTTTATTTTCTTTATTTTTGTTAACCAATTACTTATGGAATTTGGTCCCTGCATGTTCAATTCTAGCATTTTCTTTTATATTTTGGGTTCATGCCCTTGGTATATTAGCCTTTACTCACTGCTATCGGAAATGATTTTTTTTTCGATTGTACTGAAAACGGTTATACTATATGTTTGTTTCTTAAGTTTTTTTTCTTCATAAAAAAAATACCCCAATAATTATGGTGGCCAGAAGTTCTGTAATGGCCGGCTATTTGAGAAGAAGCAACATAGTATTGTTGAAATGAAATGATTACAAGTCATGGCGTCAAATTGAGAGAAAAAATTACAGTGACTAATTCCAACTAATATGATCGGAAGAGAATATCGCACAACCAATCATATATAAAACTTTCAATTTTGTGAGAAACCTGATAGATAATATCTTATAATGACGAGCTTAAATTGTAAATATTATCGATGCATGATCTGTTTACCTATGTTGACACAACACAACACACCAGTGCCAAGGTTCCTCCGGCTGGTTTTGCAGGTTATTGGAAGAGAATAACGCAGAATCAATCATATATAAAACTCTCAATTTTATGAGAAACATGAGAGACATTATTTTATATTGGCGAGCTTAAATTGTCAAATATTATCCATGCATGATCTATTTACCTATGTTGTCACAACACAACACACGGTGCCAAGGTTCCTCCATGATGGTTTTGCAGGTTCTTCGGTGGTTATACCGAACCGGTCAACATTTACCCTCTAGTTGCACCAAATTTTCACATCAACAAATAATTTTTGCTGATAATTTGCTAGAAACAACACCGCAAAATTGATCTTTGATAAGTAAATTACCTAACATTATCACTGTTAATATTTCAGATTCATCTAAAGTTAGGTTCGTTTGGTACACATAATTATATTGGAATTGATAACCTAGTAAATAAAAATTATATTGAAGGAAGAAATTATTAAATTATGACAACCTTAAAGATAGAAGATGGATTACTCGTGAATAAAAACTTATGCATTCCAATTTTACTTAAAATAGTAGGATTAGCAAGAGAGAATTTCGTTCATAGCTAACAAGAAAAATCATTCTCTTTCACCTTCAATATATCTTGAAATTATGGATTGTGGTGCTTAAAAAAAAACAGCTTATTAAAAAATTTAGAGCATTAAATATGTCACAGCCTGTCCCGAATTATTTTATCGACAGTGTGTGAAATGTCTATTTTGCCCTTGGACGTTAAGACGTATTATGTGTGACATGTTTTTGGAAGTGGACCAATATGTTAAGTTCCTAAGTTTTTGGACTCAATTAGAAGTTAGACTTTTGTTGGTTTTGTTGTTGTTAGTAACCCAAAGCTGGACCACACATCCTCCCACATGCTCTCTCGTGTACTCTCTCTCCTCCCTCTCTCAGATTTTCTTGCCATTTCCGTACAACTTGTACGGACAACCCTCAAAACCTTACAAACATCACGGATCGAGGTCGTGAATGGTTTTTTTGGACTCCTTGCAAGCTTAGGAGTGAAATGGTGGTGGTGGTTGGACATGAAAACCTTGAAAACCTTCAAAACCAGAAATCTCGATTTGAGTTACTGTTCATGCAATCGTAATTGTTGACTTTTCAACGAGTTTTAAGGTCATGGGAAGCCTTAAAACATCTTCATGAAGCTCGGGGAGTAACTTTGGAGTGATTTGGACATTGGGAAGTTCGGGTTCGACGAGTTGCAGAGGTGGCCGGATTATTGTACCTTTTTCTGGTGAGATCCTATGGATTTTAGGGCTTAAAATTGGTAAGGTTTTGTTCTACTCGTTGTAAGCTTCATTGTGGTATAAAATTCATGAATTTTGGTTGAGAATTGAAGAAGATACGAAGGTTTAAACTTTTTCCCAGTTTCCGGCGAGCGGAGGTAGACGAAGGTGAATATTCTGTCAAAGTTGACGTAATATTCCTAACGGAGACTAACGGCATCATGTATCTTTAACAGAATATGTTTGTGTTTAACGAAATATTCCCTAACGGCTTTAACTATTATTTCCCCTGTGCCAGGCACGTGCCTGTGCGTGGCTGCGCGTCTGGCCGTGCCTTGGCCGGTGCGTGAGGGCGCGTGGATGGTCATAATTTTTTTCTAAAAATATGGGGATGTTCCTGAGGTTGAGTAGGTCTTGGTGGTATATTCAAATACCCCATTTGAGCAATGTATGAAAACTTATTAGCTAATTGTGGTTGTGTGCTTTAATTAACGTTTATTTAGTTATTTTGCATATATGTGAGACCTATCCAGAGGACGAGCGCCATCAATCGAGGCTCGGGGGCTACGACCCTTTGACATACCAGTGAGTGGGCTTTTGGTTTTCCATATATACCTATATACTTGAGATTTTTCCCAGAAAATGAATTTGAATGATTATACATTTTGAAATGCCATGCAAAGTATCTGCCTATTTTATTTATGCATTAGTAGTTGCATATATTTATGATTGGTGCTGCGGACGCACAGGTAAGTGACAGGTAATTCGTAAATTAAAGCTATGAGATTGCTTTAGTTATGCGAGATATGATGTGATGCATTGAGAGCTCATAAACCTGCACCCAAGTGTTAGTGCTCCCGCCCAAAGTTAGGGCACAGTCCTTCACGTGATGTTCACCTCCCGCACCATATGCTCACCTTGGATCCAAGTTAGGTGAACATGCTTGTCGTACATACCATTTTAAGTGGTTCCGACTCGTAGGTGACCCGCGATCATTCGCACAGTCTTCACATGATCGTAGCACTAGAGCATATTTATTTTACACCTAGTCTTGTTGTACAGACTACCTTAGGTGGTTTCGACTCGTGTGCAGAATTTGATATGATTGAGATTGGTTATAAGTTGTAGACTCAGCCGGGCAGGTCACGTTAGGTGGATCCGGCTGATATGATATCTGGCATTGATATATTTTAACTAGATTACTTATAGCATTTCATTAAGATACTTTGGCATAATATATTTCTATGGATTTTCATCCTAAGCATGATTTATGATATAGTATATATTATTTTTCTGGGAAATTATACAAGTTTTACGGCGATGGGTTAGCGCTTTTGATAAATGAAATGATTTTGAAAAACTTTGTTTTTGCCCACTAACACTCTCTATTTTGCGCCCTTCCAGGTTTTAGGTAGAAATGCTTTGCTGGCTCACGGGGATTTCAACGATGGTTCTAACAGAACATCACAAATGTAGGATCACATTTGGGTGTTGTATAATTAGTACTTGTCTAGTCAGACTGCACTTAGGTTATTTATGCTCTGATTGTTTATTTCACATTTAATCTCGCACTAGCACCTTACTTTAGCTAGTACATTTAGTAGTTTGGTTTTTATTCACTTGTATTTCTCCAAATCATTATTGCTTTCGCATTGTGCATATGGTTACGTCACTCTCTCGTGACGGCCAACACGCTTTGATTTAGGTTGGGGTGTGTCAAAATACGTTTGGTAAAACAAAAAAAAAAGTGTTTTTTTTTTAAATTGCTGAGTGGAAAAGCAGAAACAAGGTCTACTATGCTTCTATTTTTTTCTTCAAAACATAGTAATCAATGCTCATTTAATGAAATTTTATAGGGTTAATCTCTGTTTACTATCCTGAAGTTTCGTGGTTTTTAACATTTGGTACGTGAAGTTTTTTTCATCCCAGAGTCATACCTTAAGTCTTAATTTTGGGACAGTTTCATACAACCGTTAAGTTTTTCGTTAGAACTTCCGTTAAGTGATGATGTGGTGCCCACATGGACAATAACTGAGCACCATATGTCCATATGGGCCCACTTCAATATTAAAAAAGAAAACAAAAAGAAAAAAAAGAAAAAAAAAGAAAAATTCACCCGTCTTCTACCTCCCCCAACCCTCTCCCTTCCGTTTTCCCTTTGCAACTGGCACCCTCTCCCCCAACCTTCCTTCACCACCCAAACCAGTCTCACTCCCGCACTTTAATTTTCCAGTTTGATTTATTTGATCGGTAGTATTCAATTTTCTAGAGGTTTGACCAGTTGTACTTTTTACAGACTCGGACACACCGCACCCTACCCCCCTAAATTTTCTCTCTCTTCTGTTACCTCCCTCGCTCCTTCATCTGGTACGCTTCCCTTCCCGTCCCATTCTCCGACTCCGTTTCGTCCCTTCTTGTTTCTCTTTCACTCCCTAAATTCCTCTTTGAGCCCCTCTTCATTTTTAAACCCACCGTCGGTCTC